TGTGTGTGTGTGTGTGTGTGTGTGTGTGTGTCACATTGTGAGGGAGTCAAGGTGGATATACACCAAACAATCAGATGAATTTAGGGTTCCTACAGGACCTTGACATTCTTGAGAGTGTGAGGAAACAATGGCATCCTTGAACATTTTGGAGAATAGATACAAATATTGTCTAGTCTATGAGCAATTTTCTCCTACTGTCTCTCAGCTCTTCAAATCAGGAATAAGTCTCTGTCTCTTGCATAATATTTTGTTTTGCTGTGCAAGAAAATGAGAAAGACCACATTGTTTGCTGTCACTGTAACAGCTCAGTTGCGAAGTGTTCACACATTCAAGCCCATGTTTATTTGTGTGTGACCCTCTGTAAAGGCTGCTAGTTCACAATATAGAAATTCTTAGCATTGTAACACTAATTAACCCTGAGCCGTGATGCTGTGTTGGGTCCTTAAATTTGAGGGAATTATGCAGAAGGTGCTTGAAAAGTCCTTGAATGTGATGTTAAGGTTGTAAAGTGGTCTGGCCTTGCGTGACATCCATATGCTAGAACATACTGGAAGACTTGTGAATAACCCTCTCTGTTCTGGCTGTGCTAATTTTTCATGTTCCTGTCGCTCCCTGTCCATCTGTTTCTGTTCTTGCTCTCTCTCACTCTCTCTCTCTCTCTCTTTCTTTCTCTCTCTCTCTTTCACAGGAGTTGGGGAAATATGGATTGTTGTATTACAATGCATTATTTATGATAATTCCCACTCTAATGTTTGCTCATGCGACTGGAGATGTGCAGAAGGTACGTAGTTTGACTCTCCAGTTGTTTTAGTGTTTCCCCTTTTTAAGTTTTGTTTCCAGCTATATTCATTTAAACAGCCAAACATCTTTAAAGCAGAGGCTAAACCATGAAGTCATGGTCTTGGTGCTGGCCAGTTATTACAAGGTTTAATCCCAAATTGAAGTGAGAGCACATATGTGAAGTCATGGGCGTCCACTGTAAATATGAGCTGTGTGTTTGTTGTTCAGTGTTGGCAGAGACCTTCTGGTTTGCCCAGCTGGGGCCCAGCAGCCAGAAAGGCACAAAGCTGCTATTATGCACCTAGTAGAGTTATTACAGCAGTGCCTACAACTCCCCTTGCCTGAACAACCCCAGCAGAGATACACACTACTATCCTTTAAAGCTAATGGAAACTCTGTTGAATATGTGTTGCGACATAAACTCCCTAACTTCTTTGTTCATGAACTATTTTTCGACTGAATGCCAGATCAGACAAGCTCTTAACTGAATTTACAATCTCTTTAGTTTCACCCCTGTTTTTATGTGCATGTGTCTTCACTGGTACAGTTTTCTCACAATGTCCCTCTCTTTTCAGGCCATTAAATATGATGGTTGGTCCAACGTGTTTTTCCTCACCCAGTTCATCCTGTCATGTATCATGGGGTAAGGCAGGCCAGAACAACAAGAACAAACAAAAACGAGCAGGATTGTGTTCTGTACCAGAGTTGAACATCTGGATTCTACCAAATTTGTCTTATATCAGCGGCTGAAATCCACACTCATTGCATCATTGTGTAGCTCAAATTACTCCACATTGTATTAAGATTGCGACATTTTATTTCATGCTCCAACAGGTGATGAATTGAGAAATATGATCACATTTTGTTTTGCAGGTTTGTCCTCATGTATTCCACTGTGCTCTGTACACAGTACAACTCTGCTTTAACAACTACGATCGTGGGCTGCATCAAGGTGAGCTGCACGTCAAGACACAGTCACATTACATGTCATTTAGCTGGGTTTAGCTAGAAGTTGCTTTGGATAGCTTTATCCAATTAGTGCTTTCAACATCTATGAGGGGCCATTTGGACACTTTGGCATGGGGGATTCGAACCACTGAACGCTCTTACCCCTCAGCCACAGACTTTACACAAGCTTGATTCATATTTGTGCTGTTTTACAGAATGTCCTGGTGACATACATTGGGATGGTGTTCAGCGGAGACTACATTTTCTCTTGGACCAACTTCATAGGTTTGAATATCAGGTAGGAAATGGATTCAATTGCTTATGATTGCTTGAAATGTTTAAAAGTCATCTCATTTATGTAGATGTATAGAGAGAGAGAGAGAGAGAGAACCAGTCTTATATTCAATGTTTTACAAAGTTTGGTTTTCCTGCCTCTCACTTACTGTTTAACTTAATATTTATGAGGTGTAACACAGTCGCTCTCTGTGTGTGTTGTTGCAGTATTGCAGGCAGTATGGTGTACTCCTACATCACATTCACAGAGGAGCAGACCAGCAAACCAAGTGAAAACAACAAGCTGGACATCAAAGGCAAGGTGGTTGTATGACAGAGACACTGGATTTAATTATTTTTATGCTGACGAACAAGAAAATTCTATTTTTAGCACGACTTTTATTTATGGACTCTTTTAGAGACAAAGCTGATAGAACGGTGTTATGGTGAAATCAATGCCTTCACCATGACTCCTTCTGCTGTTGCCATGGTAAGGAACCCCTCCAGTGGGATTGTGGGTTGATTTATATTTTTTGATGTAGTTTTCTTTTTAAATATTTGTATTTTGATACTGTGCTTGTGAGTTTTAAGAAGGGAAACATGGAAGCAGTGATATTTATGTTAGAACAATCTTTGACAGTTTGACAGACTAAACAGTAAATGTTGGGATGATGTAAGTTTCCTGAACACAACAGCGAACAGCTGGAGCGACCGATCGTTAGAAGCTTGGGTGTTTACTGATGAATCGTGGGAATAGTATGTAATGCTTATTTTAAAGGCACAATCCTTATTTTTCTGTTTTTGCTGTTTACAAGAAATGTAACTATAGATGCCTTCTAAGAACAGTGAGATGCACTGGCACTGTCATTGTCTGTTATTTCAGATTTACGTACTTCTTTTTGAGTTTTGCGGATACACTGTTACAAGCGTTTTACAGATGGACGGCAAAATGACAGTGATCGAACCTCATCCTATAAACACCCAAAATGGATGTGCAGTGGGCTGTCAATTCCCATCAAGGATTGTGGCTTTTAATATTGTTGCTGCCTCCTCTTGGGACATAATTTAAAGTTAACAGTTGAATGTTTGTTGTGGATGTCAGTGATTCTCTTTATGCAGAATTAACAAACAAGGGGACCCATTTCTTTTCATTTTTGACACAGTGTTATCGCACTTTTAACTGAGGTAGCTCCTGCAAAAGGCTGAAACTGAATGCCTCACCTACATTTATATGTTGATATATGAGATTATCGTACTTGAAATGTAAATTTTAGGTTATTTCAAGAGAAACATGGTTATCTTAACCTTAAGTAGTCAGGTACGAGTATTGTCTTTTTTCTTCCTTTTTTTAAAACATTTTTATCTACATCATTTTATATTTATTACTTTTTTAGACTAATATTCACTTTTATAGATGGTATGACTTGTTAAGTGTGGATGGTGATCTCATCTCACAGTAACGATGGATTTTTAGCTGGAAAACAGTGATGTATTTTTACATTAAAACAAACCTGTTGACACAATGGACTCTTTGTATTTGTTAAAAACAAAGGGATTTTGGTAGCTTTCAACATATTCTGAGACTACCTGTGAGAACTGCATTTTATCTCATCAATGTTTTTTTCTGTTTCTACCACTAGATGTCACTAAAATCAGACATTTTCAAACTTGGAAATCAGACCACGTGAGGTAAAGATGTCTTATTTACATTATTGCCTCACTTAGAAAAAGCAGCTGTACACAGTGAGCACAGTGGATTCACCAATAAGCAGTGTAAGACTGCAAAGGGCTAAATATTTTCACTGTTCATCTGAAATATATGTGAACATCCTCCAACAGACTTTAAGATAAAAGTAAATTCAGTTTCATTGTTACATTTAAATCCAGTACATGAAGGTACAGAGACAAAAACGGAATATGTGCCACTGTGACTTTACTAAGTAACACCATTTTTCTTGTGTGCTAAAATATAGACACAAATTTAATAAAATGGGCTGAAGATTAAGATTTAAGAACTTTTTTTTTAATGTAAAAAAACATACAGGTAAAAACATATTTAATACAAACCCACAACCATAACAATTTTAACCCATTATCTTTAACATCATCAAAAAACTAATGTAAGAATATCTAAAACTTCATAATCGCTTTTATGTTTATATTGATGTATCCAAAGTTTATTAAATTAGACAAACAGTGGAATTTAAAACAACAACCAAGTTATATTATTGCATTGTTTTTGCCATTAACGGGCAGATAATAAGCACCTTTATCAGTCCAGTCTGAACAAACTATTAAAAAGAAGGAGAGAGGAACAAAGTCTGTACTCAGCCCCGATTACCGCTGTGCATCTGTGTTCAAGTATTTTTTTACTTTGGTATAATGGACGTGTCCTACAGGATCAAACACATACCAGAAGAACAGAGGTCACAGAACTGGAGTATCACTTCAGGAGGAGGTAACAACAAGGAAGTGCCATCGTAGCCGGGAGGAGTTAGTCAACAGGCATTCAATGTGCACAGAGACAACACAATATATAACAAACATACCACAGATGCAACTATGGACTGTGGCCAAAAAAAGCTCTAACACCTGAGAACATTATTGCAAAGCACATAACTCAAACTAGTATGTACTGAAAAAATGATTTTGCTCAATCCATTTTATATGAATGTGGATGAAGGCTTGTAAAATTAAGCACAAAACATTTTTTTTAAATCCCTCACCAATACATACAATATATCTGATGTGGTTTTGAAAGGCAACATCTATGAAGATCATCCTAGGATGTTGACAGCTGAGATGTCTTATGTTGTCAGACACTTTTGCTTGTGGTGCATTCCCTCCCAGCCATAAATTAAGGCTGAGCTCTGACAGCAGCATAGAGCATTGCTGGATAATTTAATTTATCTTTTAATATGTTATAAACATGTGTAACAGCTCCCACCTAAGACTACAGGATGAACTGGCGGACTAATAATAAGATAACTAGACAGCTGTGGCCGAGATTGTGACAGGCTGTAGATATGAAGCTTTTGCTGTTGCTCTAGCGATGGTTTATGACCATGAAGTCATCCTTGAAGTCCTGTGTGTATTTCCATAAGTCATATCTGATAGAAGCACTGGGCTTATACAAGTGTGTCTCCATGATGTTTTCTCTGCTAATGTTAAAATATATCAGGAGATATAAAGAGCACCGGCAGCACAGATACAGCCACAGGAGCGGTTGTGTGCTGCTGGAGCTCAGCCTCTCACGATAAATGCATAATATATAGTGTTGGATCATGATGACACCAATAAATTATTTTTCTAATACAACAATCAAATCAATGGAGCCAGTGGGATTTGTATGGATTGCAGAGGTTATGATTTGCCATTTACTTTAAGTGTTTGATCGTATTTTTATATCAGCAGCAGCAGCCAGGAAAGATAAAGGATTTTACTCTGAACAGAAATGAGGAAATACAGCCCCACAGGTGAATTCAGGTGAGCCAGATTAACCTGTGACACGACACTGTGAGCAAGGTGTAAAAACTCCACCCAAACAGGGAGAGCAGGACTGAGCAGCACAGCAGTAGTCTGATTTCTCAAACATGCCTTTCTGTTGCTTAAATTAAAAAGCTATTCACTGTATGTTTAGTGCATTGAGACATTTTCTGCCTGCTTTCTCTCTGGGATTTGAAAAACATTCCCTTTTAGATTCCATTACCATATTATCATGGTAAAGTTACAGTGAAAATAAATCAGGCACCAGCATGAGGCAGCCACCAGCCTCAGCAACACTAGGTGAAAGGTAAGTCATTAGGCTTATTGCAGGAAGTGATTTGTCTCCGTACAACATTTCAGATAGAAATTCAGCTTCACTGACGATAACTGTCAAAACTGAAGAAGTGGGAATAAAATCTCTGCATGAAACTAAATCCTTTCATTATTCTTCAAGATAAAAGAACATCAGGACCTAGCTGATTTTTTCAATTTATTTTCTAATCAAAGGTTCAGTGTGTAAGATTTAGGTGAAAGGGATCTATTGGCAGAAATTGATCCTAGTGTGTTTTATCCAAACTGCACACATTGTTGTTTTCTTTAACCTAGATTGTGCTCTTTATATTTAAATACTTTATATTTACATCAGGAGCAGGTCCTCTCTGTGGAAGCCGCCAAGTTTTTTACAATAGCTTTAACAAACTAAACTAAACATCTTTTTAGTTTCTATGACAACTGATGGCTACCACAGGTTCTCTGTCAAGTTTGGAAGGAGAGGGTGAGGTGATGGTTTTCAGCTGCAACATGCAACTTCACCACTAATTGTCACTAAATTCTACACACTGAACCTTTAATGCAGATGTGGAGACACAGACCACGCATGTTAGATATATAACTTAGATACAAAAGGTTTCTAGGTTGGTAAGAAACGGACAACTTCTCAGCGATGTTACAGTCCAGCTGCTCAGTGTGAGTTTTACAGAGTGACGAGGTTCTCTGCTAAGTACCAGAGACTGTAGAAGTTGCAGCCGATGCAGCAGAGATTACAGAGGGAGGACAGCAGTCTGTACAGCCACAGGCGACTGCTGAGGTGTCTGTATTTAACATCCGTCTCACACAGCTTGGCGTAAGCTTCGCGGTTAGACGACAGGCCGATGTCCTGCCCCAGTCCGCACGCCTGCTCAATGAGGTGCATGTCTGCCATGATCTCCGATGTCATTTGCCCAAACCACTGGGCGTTGACCGCCGCAACCGTCACAGACACAAAGAAGATGAAGATCTGGTGGGGAGAGAGCAGAAGTGCATATTGAGGTATGACTACAAATGCAGGTTAAGCGCAATGTGAGGATGTGGAGGACACTACACACCTGAAAGGATTCTCTGTCGTCCAGCATGTCGCTGGGGTGATACACAGCGTAGATGGTGAGGTTGAAGAAGGCACAAGCTGAACCCAGGTGAAGGTAGAACGGGACAAGACGACTCTGAATAAAACCGTACGTGTGTCTGCTCAGGTTGCTGTCCATCACAAAGCCTGTGCAGAAATCACAGCAACTCATTAGCACTGCAGTAAACTTCTTACATAAAAACACTACTTTCTTATGGTCAAAGAGTTGCTATAACAATTTCCACAATAAGGACACTTTCCTGAAAATAACAAGGTTCAAGTTTCCATTTGTGACTTGTACATGAAGTTAGTCATATCTGCATTTCATGAACAAACGGCTTGGTGCATGCTCGACTTTGCCTGTTCCCTCTCTAAGGTTTAAAGTTGACCATTTTATAAATCTACCACAGTACCAACATGATAGAAACATAAGCTTAGTAGTTGATTATTGGCAGGAAGCTCAGATGTTGTAATGAACTGGAGGTCAAGGGGTACTGCTGTGCTCTGTAGCATGCAGAGAGGCATGTGAATGGTGCATCTCTATAAGTGCAGACACACCTTAAATTATTACAAACTGCATAATTGTATTCACTAAGCTACAACAAAGAAAAATCAGGGCAGGAGTGTAGGTGAAAGGTGGCCAGCTTTACAGGTGTGAAGATCAATGAGGTCCTGTTCACAACTGGCAGAGAGAGGCACTCTGGTCCAGACATAACTGAACAACTATTAATACATGTGTGAGGACATACTAAAAACCCACTGAGACAAATTCAGTGTTTGCTGGAGACCACACTGAAGGACCACTTCAGAAAAGGATTCTGTTGTGCATACAGCATAACCACAAAACCTCTGAACAGTTACCAGCCTCTCCCACTCTCTCTCTATCAACCCTCACTTGTAACCTCAGCTAAGTAGTTTATGTTTTAAGCGTGTGTTTGTTAGTTAGCAGAATTATGCCAAAACTACAGAACCGATTTCCATGACATTTTTTGTCAAGGTAAGATGTCACCCAAGGAAGAACCCATTACATTTTGAAGTAGATCCGGAAAAATTCACAGAATTATGCAAAAACAACTGGTGGAAGTGTGGGGGGCCAGGGAAGAACCCATTTAATTTGGGAGCAGATTTGATTAAGTGGGCAGATGCAGATCCAGGTTTTTCAAGAAATAAAGCAGAGACCTTTATGAAAGTAATCACTTTTTTTCAGTGTGTGCTTGGTACCAACTTGAAATAAAGGTGACCCAAATCTGCATTCCCCAGTAGGTGGAGAGCAGCAGCAGCTGCAGCAGCTTGACTGTGAACGTTGGGTCCTGGTCGGTGGACATGATTCCTCTTCAGCCTCCCTCTCTTCTGTGATCAGGACTCAACTGTCGTCCGCAGCAGGAGCAGCAGCAGCAGCAGCAGCACTGTACTCGTTATGCCTTGTCTTCTGGTCTGGAGGGCACTGGATGTTCCGCTTCAGAGCTTCTGTAAACATAACCAATACGTCACAAAGAGATTATAACAATGTGCAACATGTTATGAGCAAACTGCGTCAAGTGAAAGTAAGCTGCATCTTTAAGCTACTGCAGATTTCTGATGTGCACACTGAAACACAGTCCAGTCATCCACACGCCTCAATGTGACAGTTTAAACTCCTGAAATCAATACAACAAACAAAAGCTGGCTGTTTGACTTCCGCCAGTTTTATCAGTGCAGAAGATAAGTGTGTGCTGCAGATACTTCCGCATTGTTGTCAAGGAAACTGGTGCTGCTGTCTTTAAGTGAGTGTGTGTAGACTTCAGGAGTATAGACACACACACATTTGTTCCTCTATCTTAGTGAGGACACTTGTTGGACATTCTCTAGCCCCTTACCCTAACCATCCAAATGACATGGCTAACTCTAACCCTTGACCTAGTTCCAACTCTAACCCTAAAACCAAGTCTTAACCCCCAACAGTCCATTTAAAGTGGGTCAGAAAGTGAGGACCAGTCAAAATGTCCTCAATCTATAGGTCCACACACACACACACACACACACACACACACACACACACACACACACACACACACACACCTCGACGCCTACTGCTTACACGTCTAATTTAAGGCTAGCTACAACTCTCAGTGTGCAGGCTACACAAACGCGCGCGCACATGCACGCACACACACACACACACACAGTGCTCTGTGATCTCACTCCCTACACACACTGACGTGGGCGTCAACAAACCTTCAAAGTCACCTTTTGTAAACCACCGGCTCAGTTGTAAAACGTCCCCGTGAAGTGACTAGCTGCACCGACTAGCTGCTAACAGCTAGCTGAAGTGAACTTCGAGTAAAGTTAGCGTCACTAGTTCTGGAGTTGTTTCACCGTCCTCTAAGACAACACCTCACAAACTGCTGAGCGGACATGTTTGACAGGAAGAAGCCAGAGGACAGCCTACCTGCGTTTACAGAAGTCTCGGATTGTCCAGCAGGTTGTTGTAGATGTGACAGGGAAGCTAACGTTCAGTAGCCCGGCTGCTAAATCACTGAAGAAGGAGGCGGAACAGCAAGTGTCAGGATGTGCGGAGGAAAAGTCTCTGGTTCCCCTCTGCGCTCAGGTAACGCCTCCCTCCACTGGTGAAACACGTGGTGTCTTTATGTAACCGGGAACGTGAGCAAGGAGACTGGAAGCTCACGGAGTGTTGCTGGGAGATACAGTGTGAAGACTGAGATCAGAATGCAATCCACGTGTATTTCACTAACTGTACAGTCCTCGATTAGTAAATCCTGGTTAGTTAACTGTGGTTCAACTAAAGTAGAAATACACTCAACTTTCCAGGACACACAGCAACAGTACATACAGCATCAGCTTCAAAGTATACCCACTGTACAAAATGTACACATCCTGCCGAGTGAGCCATCTCAGAATATATTATAACAGTAACAACTTTTCATTTTTGGGATCAAGTACATCTATTTATCTAAGTATGTGTGTCTATCTTGATATCCATCCATCCAATAACTCAGTAGAGCCACATTTTTATTTAGATCTGAACAAACTTTCCCACACTCATTAACATCAGTCCTGATTTTTTTCATCAAGATCCATGAATTATTCTCAGAGAAATGAAGGACAATGTTGAAATGGCCCTATCTCACAAACATCGCTGTTAAAGACAGTGAAAAAATATTCCAGGATCTATCGCCTGATCCAGATCCACAGCAAACTTTTAGGGATTCTTCCCCCACACATACCACATCCTTCCATCAAGTTATTCTGTTCAGTGCTGCTGGACAACAAACAAACACGCATGAAAACACCTCCTCTGTGGAGGTGATCATTCTCAAGATGAAAATAGTGTGAGCCAAACAAACAACTCTATAATGTACATTTTAAAACCAAAATGGACTGATATTGTTGAATAATTTTTTATTTGAAGTTTTTATTTCAGCCATCCATCCCTCACACAGTCCATGAGATGTTTTCTCATTTACATATCAAAATAGTAGCCAATATTTTACAGTTGGTTTTTATCTGGACTGAATGTTAAATTCACTAGCATGTATTTTGAAGTGTTTTAAAATGTCTGTATGAAGCTTATTGGGAGGTTATGTGTATGGCACTTGGGTATTAATGTATTTCAACAGGGAAAATGTATGTAGAGTGTAACACCCTTAAAAAAAGGGGAAAAAATAAGACATTTGGTGCAATATGCTCTGAAACAAGCACATGATACATATACAGTTTTTAGTCAAGCTGCAAATGAAATTAGACCATGTTAAATACCTGTGCACAAAGGAAATAGTAAATACATTCATGACTTAAAAGCTTTATGGTACTTGTTTCACATTGATAGGAGAGAGTTCTTAAAGGTCCAGTGTTCAAAATTAAATGACAGGGATCTATTGGCAGAAATTAAATAGTCCCAATGATGTTTTCACTAGTGTGTGATCATCTTAATGTACGAATTGTTCTTTTGTATTTAAATACTTAAGATTTATATCTGAAGGGGACCCTCTCTACGGAGCCTGCCATGTTTTTTACATTAGCCCAGACTGGACAAACTAAACACCTTTTGAGTTTTTATGACAACTGAAGGCTACCACAGGTTCTCTGTCATGTTTGGAATGAGAGGGTGAGGTGAGGGGTGTTCAGCTGCAACATGCAACATCACCACTAGATGTGAATTTAGCTTGTTTGTACAAAGCTTAATTTCACCATATAAACTTCTGATTGTGTAAAACATCTTATTGCTTTAGAGGAAATATCTGTGTATCATGAGTTGCAGACATTGTCTCTGTGTTTGTGTGACACAGAGTTGAGGTCAGGTACCGGTGATGGGG